GGATGCTGCTGCAAGGCGACTTGACGCATTCCGGCACTGGCTCCTACTCCTAACCAACGCATCTCATTCGGAGCAGGTAAGGAGAAGCCCCTTCTCCCCCCGCGCTGTCGGACTCTTATTTTGGACAGTTTGGGTCTGGGCTGTCGAGCTCCCTCCCCTCGTCCCTCTCTTAGTTGTGTTTAGCTGCTCCAAAGCAAGAGAGGATGCTTTGCTCCCCCTCCCCTAATCCCCCCCAGTTGGTGTGATGAAGTTGTCAGTGCTCAACTAAGTTTCCACCGACCCTGAAGTGGGGAGCGTGGTGGTCAGGAGAGACTTTTCACAGGAGCTGACCCCGCTGAAGTTGCCTGGGAAGCCCTTCTGATGCGCTCAGGGCACTGCAGGGTCCGCATCGGCCCCTTCCTGAGCCCTGAGAGCCCCCGGTGCGTGTTGGGGGATGCGTGGGAGTGCGTAGGGCTCCGCATGTGCTGCCGTAGTGGGCAGAGCGGGATGTTCTTGCTGGTGTGAAAGCCAATCCATTGCGCCTGAGCGTGTGTGTGTGGTGGGGTTTGGGGGCTGGTTTTCTTATGTTTTTCTCCTCCTTGGCAGCCTCCTTCCTGCAAGTGAGCTTTATGCCTTCAAAAGCAGCGTTACCTCCATCCGTCTCTCCCCAGTGCACAAGAGGAGAGGACCGGGGCAGTCGGAGGTGTGGGGGGGTGAGGGGTAGGCAGTGGAAATTTGCTGAGTTGGCATTGCAAGGACTCACCTCCCAGCTGCCCCGTAATTTATTTATTTATTTGTTTATTTATTTATTTATTTGTGTGTATGTGTGTGTGTGTGTGTGTGTGGTAACTTCATGACAGCAGCTGCGGCGATGGTCCAGTCGGAAAGAAAAGTGGACGCATCGAGTTAAAGGCAAAAGGAGACGGCTGGGGAGGGGACCCCAGCCTGGGGGTGCACTCCATAGACCTTCAGCCTCCTGGCTTGGGGGACAGGACCCCTCACCTTACCTACCCTCTTCCCCCCCTAAAGGTACTTCTTCCCTCTTTCTTCAGCCTCCCATCATCCCTGATGCCTCTCCCTTCATCCCACCTCCCCTTTCCCCTTTTGGATATTTTCATCCTTTAGGGTGCTCATCCTTCCCTTCCTCAATCTCTCCATCCTTCCCTTCAGATTCTAAGCCTTCCCCCCCCACCTCCCCTTCCCACTGAACTGGTCCTGGGGCTCTCTGCTCTCCTCCCTCCTCCTCCCCACTCCTCAAGTCCTTCTCCTTCATTTCTCCTCCCCTACCCCTGGGCCTCCAGTCCCGTGTGCCACCATGACTGTGATGGCTGGAGAGAACATGGACGAGACTTCTGCACTACCTGGCCACCCCCAGGATAGCTACCAGCCTGCTGCCCATGATGACCATGAGTGCTGTGAGCGCGTAGTGATAAACATTGCCGGACTACGCTTTGAGACGCAGCTGAAGACCTTAGCCCAGTTCCCCAACACTCTGCTGGGCAACCCCAAGAAGCGCATGCGGTACTTTGACCCCTTGCGCAACGAATACTTCTTTGACCGGAATCGGCCCAGCTTTGATGCCATCCTCTACTACTACCAGTCTGGGGGGCGGCTTCGCCGGCCGGTCAATGTGCCCTTGGACATGTTCTCTGAGGAGATCAAATTTTATGAGCTGGGTGAGGAGGCCATGGAGAAGTTCCGGGAAGATGAAGGATTCATCAAAGATGAGGAGAGACCCTTGCCGGAGGGGGAGTACCAGCGCCAAGTATGGCTCCTCTTTGAATACCCAGAGAGCTCTGGGCCTGCAAGGGTCATTGCAATAGTCTCTGTCATGGTGATCCTCATCTCCATCGTGATCTTCTGCCTTGAGACATTACCTGAGTTGAAGGAGGACAAGGAGTATACAGTGCATCGCACTGACAACACCACCCAGGTCTACAAATCCAACATCTTCACAGATCCCTTCTTTGTGGTGGAGACCTTGTGCATCATCTGGTTCTCTTTTGAGCTGGTGGTGCGCTTCTTTGCTTGCCCCAGCAAGACTGAGTTCTTCAAGAACATCATGAACTTCATTGACATTGTGGCCATCATCCCATACTTCATCACCTTGGGCACTGAGATGGCCGAGCGGGAGGGGACTCAGAAAGGAGAGCAGGCCACCTCCTTGGCCATCCTGAGAGTCATCAGACTGGTAAGAGTCTTTCGAATCTTCAAACTCTCCCGCCACTCTAAGGGCCTCCAGATTTTGGGACAGACCCTCAAAGCAAGTATGAGAGAGCTAGGTTTACTAATCTTCTTCCTCTTCATTGGGGTGATTTTGTTCTCTAGTGCGGTATATTTTGCTGAGGCTGAAGAACCTGAGTCTCATTTCACAAGTATCCCTGATGCTTTCTGGTGGGCGGTGGTATCCATGACCACTGTGGGCTATGGTGACATGTACCCTGTGACAATTGGAGGCAAAATCGTAGGCTCCTTGTGTGCCATCGCTGGTGTGCTGACAATTGCCCTGCCTGTACCTGTCATCGTGTCCAACTTCAACTACTTCTACCACCGAGAAACAGAAGGGGAAGAACAGGCTCAGTTACTTCACGTTAGCTCCCCTAATTTAGCATCTGACAGTGATCTCAGTCGCCGCAGCTCCTCCACAATCAGCAAATCTGAGTACATGGAAATCGAAGAGGATATGAATAATAGCATAGACAATTTTAGAGAGGCTAATCTCAGAACTGGCAACTGCACTGTAGCCAACCAAAACTGCGTTAATAAAAGCAAGCTGCTGACTGATGTGTAAACAAACAAACAAACAAAAAATCCCCACTCACAGCTTGAAGACTTTAATGACACAGTCACACTTTGTAGATGCTTTACTGATAGTCTTTGAATGCTTTATTTACCTCGTAAATGCATTGTTGCATTGCGAATTTTTGCTCAGCGATAAAGAAGCTTCCAGGATCCATGAAAGATAAGAATTAATTTGTTTATTTTTAAAAAAGCATTTTCCACCTGGTAAATAATAACCATTTGAACTAATTTAGTTTTAAGCTGTATGATGCTAGACCTAAACTTTTCATTTCCCATTTCCCTTTTTTTTGGATAGGGTTAACTTAAACTAAGTAAGACAGTTTTTAGAGCTATAAAGCATATGCATGGATTCCAGTAAAAATACTCTGCAAAACTGCACAGTTACAAGAAAGTGCATCAGATAATAACAACAACAACAGCAAAAAAAAGATTAGCGAAAACCTGAGGCAAGCGTTTGCCGTGGTTTTTATGAAGGAGCGCAAATTTTCCTTCCACCCCATGTGAAAGATTACGTACTTCCAATCTACAGATCCACACAGCACCTTATTAAAAACATACTTAAGCCTGGTCTCTTTTGCTGTCCATAGAAGAACTATTCTAAAAGGAAGATAACAAACAAAACTGAAGACAAAACATCTGCAATGCTGCTAAGTTCTCTTACATGCAGATGATTTAAACACACTTTTCCGTTTCCCTGTCCAGAACTGGACACAAAACTTTAAGCCCTTCTGTTGCAAGATAGCACAATGGAGTTTAATATAAGCATGTTTGAATTTGATACTATTTATTTTATAATCGCATGCCTGAAACGTTACCTCAGACAATAGCGGATAAGCTTTCGTTTGAACTGAATCTTCTAAAAATAGGTCCTTTATCTCTCTTTGTTCTTTTATTTTCTTTTTCTTTCGATTTGCATTCACCAGAAGTGCACTCCTTAATTTATTAAATCATTGACTAGTAATTTAAAGTACTGTATTTAAGTGCGTATGTTAGTCAAATGGGAACAATAACTTTTGGAGATCAAAGCATGTTCAAATATTCAGCATTATGGCCTATCTGGTTAAGGTGTAACTTGAATTAATTAATGCATGAATTCAATAATAATAATAAGAATAATAACAAAAATAATAATAACAATAAAAAGAAAATAAAAAAGTGCTTGATAGACTGAGGGCCTGAACGAACTGATTAGAGAAACTTGATTATTTTCCTGCATCGCTCGGGGAAATGTGTTGGCTTTTGTCCAGACGTTGTTGGAAAGGAACATATCCCATCCGTTAAAGGGAAAGCTATATGCAAAATTAAGAAGTCAAGTTATATATAGCAACACCTAAAACTTAGTATTCTTTATAGTTGAAAGGTGCAGATGCATGCTTTTTGGTGCATTCTCCGAATGTAAATGAAACTTATCTATTATATGCATCCAAATTGCAGCAGCTGGTTTCTTTTGCAGTCATTAGTTGAGACTTTTTTTGTATCCCCTGAAAAACTCACTGAAGAGACTCAATGGATTGATTTAGATAGTTGCGCAGTGCCTTTATCTTACATCCCCTAAATTGCTGAAAGTGCCTCCAGGAACTGAGCTGATCAGAGATAGTGAAGGAGAGGGCAAGGCACCAACACACTCTCAGGGTGTTCTGTGCTGCCTCCGGGCATGGCGGAGCACAGATCGGGGTAGAGAAAGAAAAAAAGAGCAAGTGTGAGTGAGCAGGACGCAGGAGAGGTGGGCAGAGTCCACCAGCGCCCATGGGATACCTTCCTTTCCTGGCCAGTTCGATGCTGCAGGCTTCAGCATTTGCTTCTGCCAAATAACTCATGGTTGTGTTTATGCAAGACTTCAGGTTGCCCTTGGTTGTTTATAGAGACCTCGCTGCCATCATTGTATCTGCCCTTCCTTTCCCTGAGATGGCTTCTTGGCAGTCTGTCCCAGCGTGGCAGGACGCAGGAGGAACTAGGGACCAGCGTGAGCTGTGGCATCGCCCAGTCAGGCAACCAGACTGCAGGGCCGTGGTTTTCTTTCCCTTGGATTTCCCAGCAGGTAGATGGGAGAGGCTTTCCACTGCCTTCTCATCTCTGCCCTCTCGGTCCCCTTTTGGCAGCCTGTCAGACCTTAAATCCTGTCACAGATTCTTTGAGCCATATTCTTCTGTCTGATCCCTGACCTTACTCTACTTCCACCATCATCTGGCAAAGGAAGCAGCACTAGGAGAAGGTATCTTCTGCAATGTGCCAGCCTTGACTGCTAGGCCCTGGAAGATCTGAACTAATGTAGGCACTAATCTTTATTTTTTAAACGGGAAAAGTTGAGAATCTTCATTCTGCACTTCACATGTGGCCAACTGCTGTTGAACACTTCTCCTTCCACACTGTACAGATCCTTTCTTCCCCTATCTTTCTGATTTATGTATATAGGTGTATAAATATATATGTGTCTGCACAAGTGTGTCACAAACATGTGCAGACACACATAGACATAAAATCAAAGCACTTAGAGTTAATAAATAACCGTAACTCCGCAGCTACGCACAAGCCTGACCTGCCAGGTTTCCAGAAAGACTTGACTTTATTTCTCACTGTGTGGCTTCTGTGAATCTTAACAACGAGAAAGCAATCGAGAACTGAGGGATGTCTTAACTCTTGCAAGAAATGCAAAGCATCAGATAAAACAGGGCATTACATTCTTTAAGGTAGATACTGTAAAGCTTCCTTCTGTACCCTGCTCATGCCCCTGCCCATCGTACACCTCTCTCCTCATTACATTCCGGTGATCCTAATCTTCCCAAACTTTTGAATTCTGGGATATGACTTCTTAATGTTAAAATGGACTTGAATGCTGCACTCAGCTTATACAAAAACCAACTCACTAAACTAAACAGCAATAATCAATTCTGTGCTGTGGGACTGATGATCAGAAAGTGGCATCTGGGAGATGAGGCTTCACTTTGGTAACTTAACCTCTGCCGCAGCTGGGTAGGCACACCTTACTTTAATGAGCAGAATGATAGTCGTTCTGCATTCGTAAAGACAAAAGTGCTGCATGCAGCAATTCTTCTTTGTCAGGATGGATCATTAGGACTCAGGGTGTTCTGGAGAGCCTGAATGTTGCTTTGTCCATTTATAGCTCACTGCAAAGGATTTCAATACATATGCAGTACAGGAATTAACCTCATGTAGCATAGGCATGTGTTTTCGACAACTTTGACACAAAAAATAACAGCAACAGAAAAAAGCTTTCACTCCCTTTAAACAAGAGTGCTGAAATGTCTTTGTGGGCCTGAAGGTGCACTTAACAAACTGCTTGTTCTTAGCAGTAAGCATCCCTTTTTCTCTCTCTCTCCTTATCTTTATATCTTTCTCTCTCCCCTCTTCCTTCCTTCCTCCCTTCCTCCCTTCCTCCCTTCCTCCCTCCCTTCCTCCCTTCCTCCCTCCCTCCCTTCCTTCCTTCTTTCCTTTCCTTCCTTTCCTTCCTTCCTTTCCTTCTTCCTTTCCTTCTTTCTTTCCTTCTTTCTTTCCTTCTCACTAAGGGTTTTCTTTCTCTCTTTCCTTCCTTTTTTCTTTCTTTCTTGTTTCTTCCACTTTAGGCATGTTTCTTTTTGCCAGTCTGTGGGGTTGTTTATGTCGATGGCAGAGGACTGTAAATGAGCTGATGGCCTGTTTAGTGCATCTCTGAAAGAGTCAAGAGACCTTCATTCATTTGGTAGGGACCTCCCAGAAGTGCTGCCTGTGTTTTGCTGGACAGAGAAACCAGTAGATACAGATGTCTTAATTGGGCTGTAGTTTGATGAGGCAAGGTAGCTATTCCAGCATAAAGAGTCACTACCCAAACCTCCTTTACCAGCTGCTGCTTTATGCCTCTGTGCGCTTCTTGGTTGCCCCCATAAGGCTTTTTCTTCATCCACTCAGTGAAGGGGATGAGGGACCTTAACTGACGTGATCGAGGCAGGAGTGTGCTGCAGTGCAGAGGCAGGAATGAAGTGGAGTGGCAGTGGGCAGGAATCCCATAGACTGGTATCACTGCCAGAATTCCCCATCTGGTCCTAAGGTACTTTGCTATAGAGCGCTAGGGAACAGGCAGAGGAGCAAGGGGGAGAGTGAAAATGAAAGGCTCTGTATCCCCTTCCTTCACAGAACTGAGAGGCTGCTGCCAGACTGCCAAGAGCTCAAGTGCTCTGTGTGGCAGCTCCAGCAGAGACACTGAGCTGGATTTACGTGTCTTCAAGAGGAAGTGAGTGTGCAGTAAGCCAGGGTGTGAGTTCTCAGCATCCTAGCAAACCCATGCAGATTCCCCGCATGGAGTCTCTTAAGCCTTATCTCCACTGGGGACTTCAGGAAAGCTAATCCGAATTAATGAAAGGTGTGCATTTAAAGTAGATTTGTTAAACTGCTTTAAAGCCCAGCATGGACATTCTGTTGCAGTATAAAAGCAACCTTAATCTGATTTGGAGTCATTCTTTTTGGAAGGAAAGTAAGCTGAATTGAATTAAGGCTGCTTTAATTCTGAACACAATGGGGCTTAATGCAGTTTACCTCATCTGCCTCACAAGTTCATTCAGATAGATAAGCCTTTAGTAATCATTAAATGTAATTCAACTGACCCTACTTTGCAGGGCTGGGTGGAGTGTGGCCATGTGCTACAGAATTCTTAGTATGTGAGTGCTGGAAATTCACAGCCTGGCTTACTGAGGGCTAACATGTTATACCCGGTAACAATTCCAGTGATCCTTCCTTGTTCCTAGTTTACACATTTGTAGGTGTGAGAGGAGTCAATCCCGCTGCCTTCCGGGAAGTTGACAATGATCATGGCCCAAGGAAATTAATTTCCGCTTGCAAAGTCTCTAACTGTGCATGTGCTTAATCTGATGTACTGTTGGTCGTATGGACAAGCACTTAAAAGACAGTACGAAGCACTAGATACAGAACAAAATTCAGCAAAAAGTCCTCTTGTTTTCAGCAGTGATTTTGCCCAAGTAGAGATTTCAGGGATCAAAC